ATGCTTTTGTATGGCGTGCGTTTAGGCGGAGCATGCTTTTGTATGGCGTGCGTTTAGGCGGAGCATGCTTTTGTATGGCGTGCGTTTAGAGGGAGTGACCGTGCATTTGTATGGCGTGCGTGTAGGCGGAGACTGCTGTACGCAAAATGAACAAGAATTTTCAGATTTTTGCTTGACATTTTTGTAAGCCTCTGCTTCACATAGTCTGGATTTCACTGGTGATCAGAAAGCAAGTTGGACTTGAATGGCGATAGGAAAAAAATGTCTCTATCCTCTTATGTTTTATTGGCAGCAGTGGTGTTTTTGAAAAACAGTAGAAATATTTTGGAAGTGAATTTGTCGCATTTTCGAAATTTAATGGTAATTTATTTTCTCAACTAGCATATTCTCCGCCCCTGACTGGAATCTATGGAAGAATTCTATTCTCTGTTTATGCAAGAGAATTTTTTGAGTTGTAACCTCACTGTTTTGTGCGGCAGGGTTAATTCAAATCGCAACATGAACCACGCTCTTCTTAATCTTTTGGCTGTATCATTTCAACTTTATGCTACAAACATCTGTGTTGTATAATGGTAAGCTCTTGGCTGTTGTGCACAAAAGACGTGAGTTCAATTACTGCTTGGGGAAGTCATTTTATCAAATGTCTTCATTGGTCTGCTGGAATGTTGTATCCCCTTCAGCCTGGGTGGTAGAGTTGGGCGAACAAGCGATTCCGGAACCGATTCCCACAATGAATGTTACGAAAGAAAAGTTCCGACTCCTTTTTATGTAAGCCAACTGTTGCCAGTTACTTTTATCATTAAAATCTTTTTTTTTAGAATTTGTTTTTGAAAAATAAAAGTTGATGCTTCGTGGTGTTCCGAAATCAAGGTTATCCTAAATCCTGAAGATGTTAAGACCCAAACCAGGTAACCATCTGAAGAAGTCGCATCTTTAGAAAGTAAGTAATTGGGTTCGGAGTCGATTCCTACAATTCCTAGCTTTCAATAATCGGGAACCTAGCCGCCCAGCACTACTGGGTGGGCCTTGACAGTCGGCGTCTAAGATGCCTGTTTTCTAAATGATCTAAATTGTGTTGAAGGGAGCTAGTTATTTTACAACTTTTGCAGTGTTTTCTGCCTTCTAAATGATCTAAATATGTCAAGTTATTTTACAGTCGTTTACAGTGTTTCCAAATGATCTAAACTATGTTGAAGTACGTAGGTCATTATATAATCATTTACAGTGTTTCCAAAATGATCTTAATTGGGTCATGGGGCGTAAGTCATATTACAGTCATTTATAATGCTGCCCATCTTGTAAATGATCTAAATTGTGATGAAAAACTTAAAACACATTACTGTAATTTTTATTGTTTTTTGTCTTTGAAATGATCTGAATTGTGATAGAGGTCTTAAACTTAAATCATTTTGCAGTCATTTTTAATGTTTGACTTGTTGGTCTTTTAAATTATCAAAATGTATGCCATGAGTCCTTTTACAATGATCTGAACATGATTTTCTGGTATTCTGTCTTATACTTATACACTATCCTTTATGCTTCACAAGCCATTTGACATACAGCTGTTCAAAGTGTATTTATTCATGATGTCTCTACTTCCTGTATTTCAAAAGAGGAACTGGATTTCATATCATTATAAAGAACAAAAAACAAAAGAAAAAGAAAGTTGAGAATTTATAAACATGAATTTTGCATTTTTGTTACTTTCAGATATACTGCACACTTTTTGTGATATGTGAGGCATGCTGACAAAATTATTTAATTCTCGGATTTTAGCTCTATGGACACAAATAGATACATCACATTTCTAGGTGTGGTATGTACAGTTTATCATATGAAATGATAAAAGACATGTTTAACTTGAAGAAAACGGCATCAGTTGAAATATCTGCAAGTTTGATGTGTCTGTTCTCGACTGACATCGCCATTCATGGATCGCGAGAAGTAATGGATTTTGTCTGCACGCTCCACAAATAGTTATAGTCGTATTTGTTATTTATAGCTGCTCTTTTTGTGGCTGTGTTTGTATCATACATCATGTATATAAAATAAATTAACCGCCCATTATCCTGCAATATTTTAATGATTATCATTTGTTATTAACAATAACAAATTATGTGATCTTGATTTTAAAAATATTGTATTGCAGATTTTCAAGAAGTCTACCGTAGACAAAGTTAAGAATTCAGATTTGAAAATTGTTTCCTCTTCTTAAAAATCTTTTTTTTTCTTGTCCTGAGAGTTTTTAAGCTTTTTTTTTTCTTTTTCTTTTTTTTTTCTTTTTCTTTTTTTTTTTTTTGGTGTATGGTAGGAGTCAAGTTGTTTATGACATGACAGAAGGGCAGATTGTTAATTTACATATTTATTCAAGACAACGTGTTTCATGTGTTTTCCATTATGTAGACATTCAAAATTTTTTTTGTTTTTTTAACATTATTGTTATAGCAGTCTTTTGTTGTTGTTGGGTTTTTGTTTTCATGTATGATCAAATTTGTAAAAATTTACTGTCTGTCTACTGGAACTTTCAATAGTCGTGAACTGCTTTGTAAGATGTATCAACGCACACAGTGTGTGATGGTTACTGACAAACAGTCCCGTTGTGTCCACGTCAAGGTTTGATTGAAACTTTGAAAGCAGCGTCATATGATGAGAGATCAGGCCCACACTTCAAAGTCAAATTCAAGAATGAATAAGTCTCTGTTTATTACATGAAAATTGTTTATATCTTTTTATATTTTTTAACCATTTTTCATGTGAATATGAATCACATCATATTACTATATCATGCAATTGTACCTGGTCTAGCAATCACCTGTCCAAGACAATCTCCTGTATGAACAGCCCCTTCCCTCTTTCGCCTTACTGTATTTTCTTTAATAAAAAGACACTCTCCAAGATGACTACCTGTCTAAGATGACTACTTTTCTCCTCAAAAATATATTACTTTGTGTGTGAGTGTCAAGAGACACGGTGGAATCATAATATGCTTGTAAATATTTTTGACCAATAGAGTTATTTGTATGTTAATCTTGTCGCTAGTGTTCATTTGTCCTGCTTTTGAGGAAAAAAATATCCATTTATCCTGAATAGAAGTCGAGACATTAGCGTTGGAAGGATGGGGGGGGTTGTTTAGTGTCAGGGGTAAAATTGATGAGAAAATGGCCTCCAAAATTTGGTGACTTCCAATGCTTAAGTGTCATTGAAATCTGCTAATTGACATTTTTTTTGTACCTTTGATCAAAGTTTTTCCAATACAATTCCTATAGAAATGGGGGTTTTTA